AGAGCCTGCGGCAGGAGGGCAGGGCCTCGGCCGCCTGGCCTGCCGTCCTCCCCGTCCTCTCCGTGTCCAGCCGGGTCTCCTGGAACAGGCCGCGTCCCTCGCTGTCAAGCGCGGAGGCTGCCACTTCCCCTGCGGCCACCGGAAGTGCCGCCTGGAAGTTTCCTTGAAGCTGTTGGTTGCCAGGCCAGAGTTGCCGCTCTCTGGGGTGTTTCCCCCGTGGCCACGGAGGCAGGCCCCCCTGCGTCTCCGCGACGCCCCGCGAGGGACGTGTTTCAGAACACCTCGTGGCAGCGGGGGGTCAGAGGGCGATGACGACGGTGGCCAGGCCAGGGAGCGGTGGGCGGCTCGGGCAGGGCCTGGGCGCCGGCTGCGCGGCGGTACGGCACGTGGGGGCGGCCCGGAGGAGGCTGGGGGAGGGAGTCCACTTCCGTACGTGTCGTTCGCGTGCCTGTGGACACCCACGCTCAGGAGGCGATCAGGGGCCCAGAGCAGAGAGAAGAAATCGCCCAGGAAAGACGGAGACATGGAAAATCTCGGGATAAAGGGGCCTGAGAGGGGCGAGTTCCAGCAGAGGCCCCGCCCCCAGCCCTGAGGCCGGCCCTGCCTTGGCTTCTGCCACGTTCACCCCACGTTCACCCCACCTCCAGGCCACGCGCTCCACAGCCTGCGACAGGAGCCCGGGAAGTCACAACTCACTCCTAAAGCATCCCTGTGTTTCAGTAACTCGGGAGGGGCAGGGGACTTTTATCTTAGACACTGCTGACTTCTAGAGCAGAAGACTTGGTTTTATCAAGATATGCCAGCTCAGTGATGCGCTTGCGCCGCCCCAGGCTCCGGCCTCCCAGGAAACCGGCAGCCATTCCACGGACAACTTCACGACATAGCGGCCATTCTGTCTGCACCCCATGTCTCATCTTTGGCAAAAACGACCCCCATTCTTTAGTTAAAAAATTTTTTTTCTTTATTGATTAAAAAAATTTTTTATCCTCACCTGAGGACATTTTTCCATTTTTTGTTCAGATACTGGGAGGGAGGGGGGGGAGAGAGAGAGAGAGAAAGAGAAACATCGATGTGAAAGGGACACATGGAGTGGCTGCCACCCACACGACCAACCAGGGCCAGGGACAAACTGCAACCGAGGTACATGCCCTTAGCGGGAACCGAACCCGCGTCTCTCTGGACCGCAGGCCGATGCTCTAACCACTGAGCAAACTGGCCAGGGTTCTTTAATTGTTTTTTTTTATCCTCACCCGAGGACATTTTCCCATTTTTTTTTTTTTTTTGTTCAGGTAGAGTGGGAGGGAGAGAGAGAGAGAGAAACATCGATGTGAAAGGAGCACATCGAGTGGCTGCCACCCACACGACCGACCAGGGCCGGGGACAAACTGCAACCGAGGTACGTGCCCTTAGCGGGAACCGAACCCGGGTCTCTCAGGACCGCAGGTCGACGCTCTAACCGCTGAGCCAAACCGGCCAGGGCTGGCCAGGGTTCTTTATTGATTTTAGAGAGAGAGGAAGAGATAGAAATGTGGATGAGAGAAAACATCGACTGGCTGCCTCCTCCTGCACGCCCCCCACTGGGGTTTTGACCCACAGCCTGGGCATGTGCCCTGACAGGGAATCGAACCAGCGACCTCTTGGTGCATGGGTCAACGCTCAACCACTGGGCCACACAGGCCGGGGAAAGCCCATTATTTTTAAAAACAGTCCTCACCCTGGCCAGTGCGGCTCAGGAACTAGAGTGTCAGCCATCGAACCAAAGGGTTGCCAGTCCGATTCCTGGTCAAGGGCATATTCCTGGGTTGCAGGTTCGATCCCTGGCCCCAGAAGTAGTGTGTGGGAGGCAATCAATTGATGTGTCTCTCTCACATGCCCCCCCCCACTCTTTCTAAAATTCAATGGCAAAAATTATCTTCAGGTGATTTAAAAAAGAAAAAAAAGTTCCTCTTCTATCAAATAGGTAGCCAAGTACAGTACCCTCCCTAATTCAAATCCTGAACCTTACAGTCAACTCATCTTTGACAAAGAAGCCAAGAATATACAACGGGGAAAGGGCAGTTTCTTTCTTTCTTTTTTTTTTTTTTTTTTTTTTTGGTACGTGCCTCTTGTGGGAACCGAACCCGGGACTCTCTGGTCCACAGGCCGATGCTCCAACCGCTGAGCCAAAGCAGCCAGGGCGAAAGGGCAGTTTAATAAATGGTGCTGGGAAAACACACAAAAGAAAGAAATTGGCCCTGGCCAGTTTGGCTCAGCGGTTAGAGCGTCGGCCTGCGGTCCGGAGAGACCCGGGTTCGGTTCCCGCTAAGGGCATGTACTTCGGTTGCAGTTTGTCCCCGGCCCTGGTTGGTCGTGCGGGTGGCAGCCACTCGATGTGTCCCTTCACGTCGATGTTCCTCTCTCTCTCTCCCTTCCTCTCTCTTCCTCCCACTCTATCTGTACAAAAAAAAAAATGGAAAAATATCCTCAGGAGAGGATAAAAAAAAAAAAAAAAAAAAAAAAGAAAGAAATTGGACCTTATCTTACACCACACACGAAAATCAACTCAAAATGGATTAGAGACTTAAACGGAAGACCTAAAACAGTAAAACTTCCTAAAGAAAACATAGGAGGAAAACTCTTTGACTATGCCTTGGCAATAATATTTTGTATTTGATACTAAAAGCACATGCAACCAAAGCAAATGTAAACTAGAACTACGTCAAACTACAACTTCTGCACAGCAAAGGAAACCATTAATAAAATGAGAAAGCAACCTACGAAATAGAAGAAATTAGCTGCAAACCATGTACCTGAAAAGGGGTTAACATCCAAAAAATGTAAGAAACTCCACAGCAAAAACCCACACAATTTAAAGATGGGCAAATGACCTGAACATACATTTTTCCAAAAACATACAGATAGTCAACAGGTATAGGGAAAAGTGCTCAACACCACTGATAATCAGGGAAATGAAATCAAAACCACAAAATCACTTCACACCTGCCAAAATGACTAGTATCAAAAAATCAAAAGGTTAAGTTGGTGATGTGAAAGGAATCCTTATGCACTGTTGGTGGGAATGTAAAATTGTCAGCCAGTATGGAAAACACTATGGAGGTTCCTGAACTAATTACAACTACTTTATGACCCAGCAATTCCACTTCTGGGTAAATGTCTGAAGTAAATGAAATCTCAGAGGTATTTGCACTCTGTGTTCATTGCAGCATTATTTACAAGAGCCAAGATAAGGGACCAACCTAAGTGTCTGTCTCTGGATGAATTATACATAAAATGATATATACACACAATGGATTGATTACTCAGCCTTAAAAAAGGAAATTCTGCCCTATCTGACATGAACCTGTAGGACTCCTAAATGAAATAAGCCAGATACAAAAGACAAATAACTGCATCTCACATGCTTAATCTAAAAAAATAAAATTTGCCTTGCCAGTGTGGCTCAGTGGTTGAGCATTGACCCCTGCACCATGAGATCGCCAGTTCGATTCCTAGTCAGGGCACATGCCCAGGCTGTGGGCAGATTCCCCAGTCGGGGGCATAGAGGTAGCCAATCGATGTTCTCTCTCATTAATGTTTCTACCTCTTTCCCTCTCCCTTCCTCTCTCTAAAATCAATAAAGAAGAAAAAATTCTAATTAAAAACTAAATTCACAGAAAGAGTAGAATGGTGGTTACCAAGAGCTAGGGCGGGGGTGAAGGAAACGGGGAGATGTTGGCCAGAGGGTACAAACTTTCAGGTGTGAGTGTTACAGAGATCTATGAATAGCTTGGTGACTGGCGAATCGTGTTGTACACTTGAAATCTGTCAAGTAGGCCTTAAGTACTCTCACTGCACGTACAAAAAAGGTGACTATGAGGTGACAGACGTCAGCTTGAAGATAATAATCATTTCATAATGTGTATTACATCAAAACATCACATTATACATCTTGAATACAATTTTTATTTGTAAATCATACCTCAGTAAAGCGGGGGGAAGGGACCCTGCATCTTCCCTTTACCATGCAGCATTGGGATTGGGTGGGTTTCTTAGCTATGGAAGAGTGTAAGGAGTCAATGAGTTAACACATTCCGGAGCTTAGATTTGTTTTCATTTATGTGGGACTGGAGCTGCCCGTGCCCACAGCTCCAGCCTCCTTCCCAGTTGGGTTTCTATACTTGCCACTGGAGTCTACTTAATCCAGGGAACTGCGATGGAAGCTTCTGAAAACCACTGCATGCTCCAGAGGGATGGGAGACTGAAACAACTGGTTTACCAGTTAGTCTCTGCTAGGACCACAAAGTTGTCCTCTTCAAATGGTGAGTAGGGCGAGCAATCGCAGGTATGATGTAAATACTCCAGAGGTCATGCAATCAACGTGTTCAACCTCTGGGACTATTCTTGTGTGTTTCTCTGAGTAAACAGATGGGTTCTGGTTTCAGACCTTCAGAGATGCCTACTCAACCCTGGAGCAGACTAAGGCCAGTCAGTTCAGTGTGTCCACGCCCTATGTATGCACAGCGAAGGGCAGGGCTGCAGGAATCCAGGTCTCAGCCAAGTTCCAGCGGGACCCAGTTCTCTTGAACGTGCCTACCACATACGGCACGTGACACGTGGAGACACTGCTCAATACCAGGTGCCACTACCTTTTCCAGATCAAGCTTCAGTGTGACCACAGCCTCTTCTCCAAGTTTGCTTCAGCCCCCAACCCCTAGATTCTCTGTCAGTGTTACAGCCAAGTATTTGACACCGTTTTAAATATTAATGCCTCACAATGTCTCCTAGGCTATTTCCAGAACACAGTTGTAGCCTTTAAAAGGTGAAGAAAAGATTTTATATATTACAGTGTTCTAGAAACCATGTACCTAAATAAAGGAAATCCATTTGATTCTCCCAAACACACAAAAGTAAATTTTAAAACTCACAACTAAAATGCTTAGGGAATGTAATTTCAGCTTAAGTGACATTATCTAGTTGACTACTTTTGGAGAAATATTCAAGTATATTTACATGGACTGGCTCATCTTGAACATAGTCTGATGATGAGTCTGCTTCAGAACACAGGCAGTCAAGTGCTGGCTGCTCCTGTTAGCAGACTTTGTAATCACATTTAATCTCATTTTTACTGAAAGCTGAAGTACACCATCTATGACCTTAACGTAGCTGGTATTCTCTAATAAGAATTATCTATCATGTTTTCCACGTCACCGTTAAGCAGCTCTGCGTTGCGTTCATAAGCATGACCCAAACCAGAGGCATCATCAAAACCTGGAAACTTGTTAGAAGAGCTAAATGAGCCTGCTCCTGGGCCACGCCTGGAGCCCAGCAATCTGTTTAACAAGCCTTCCAGGTGATTCTGACACTCGCTGAGTTGGAAAGCCACTATTACACAGAATCCTCACCTACCAACATTCAAGCAGGGGTCTTAACCTGAATCTGTTAACTCTCTGAAGTCCAAGGCAAATGTGCATATTCCTGGGGAGAAGCTGCACAGTGGTCAATACCATCAAAGAGATGCTGTAACCTACACACACTTGGGTACCAAGACTTTTAGTCACCAAATTCAGCAGAATTCATTTCTACAAATAAACACCAAGCCAAAATTTTCTCCAAGCCCTTTAATATTTGCTTAAACAGTTGAGCCACAAGCAATCATAAAACTACATTTATATTACAAGAAAGAAAATTTTGTATATCTGCACGATATACCAATTACCTCAAAATCTCTTCTGTGATAACATTTCATTAGCATACTCTGGTCGGTCCACAGGCTGCTTCAATAGGGCCGGACAGGCAGGCCAACTGCAAACCTGCCTGCTATGCACACTGTACCAGGCTTTACGTATGTGTGAATGGTGTGAACGGAAGTCCTGGCAACCTGTTAATAGAATAGCACTGCTACCACCAGGTAAGCCTGTTTTATATGCTTTCACTCGAAGTACAAATCATGAAACCAAACAGATCTCTGCCCAAAGTAGCATGCCAATGTGCACTTTATTTCTATTTCCAAAGTTTTTACACAAGTGTGCAACATGAGCACATGGGAACACTCAAGCAGTTATCACTACCCTAATCTTCGGCTGAGCACTGTTTGGCCAGCACCAACATGACTGTCTGGTTCCAGGGGTTCGGCAATTACCTGTTGGGGGAAAAAAAATTTTTTTTAACCTAACACAGCTAGCTGTCAAAAGTGGTACCTACTTTTAAAGCACCAAGGCTGTCATTTAAATAAGAAAATGCACTTGGCTGAATCAGCTCTAAAATGAAGACACCACTGCCTCCTCAGTAAGCATTACTATCAAAGCCAATTATTCTTCAGAAAACTGAGTGCCGTCCGGCTCAGACACACTGCAGTTCTTCAGGGTATGTTCTTTACACCCTCCCAAATCTATGCAAATCCATGTGGACTCCTCACTCCCTCAGCCAACCCTTAGTTTTTACGGGGCCCGATCTCTTGATCTTTCCCACCTACATTCCCTCTGACCTTACGTTCATTTTTCTCTTCCCTCAGATGGGCCCTGTTCTGAACACTCTTTTGTCTGAGTGGGTACAGGACAGAAGACTGTTTCCAACCACTGACCAATCACCAATACCCTGCCTTGATTCGGGGGTCCTTTTAGTAAAACTGACTGAGAAGTATGTTTATACTGGTCACACCCCCACCCAAAAAAGCATGCTAGGTGTTAAAAAAAAAACCTCATTGTTTAAAGGTTCAGGATAACAAACGTGAAAGGTACCTGGGGAAGAGTCATTCAATGTGAGTCATCTAGTTCTAATTTTACAGATGAGAATACTGGAAGCTCAGAGATGCAACATGACTAGTCCAAGGCTGTTCAGCTCTCCCAAGACAGAAATTAGAACCATATTCCAAACTCTTTCCACTATACCACAGCCACCACAAAACCCAAGGTTAAGGTAATGAAAGGTTTGTAAGTAAAACAAAATAAAAAGCTTAGTACACATAGGAAAAGATTGGGATCTCGCCACACATTTTTACACAGAATAAAGGCAATCTTTTACAATGAGAAATGCTGTTCAGTTCACTACATGCCACTCAGATCCTTACTAAGACACTTATTCTGAGGCCTGACACTGACATTGGATGCAGATGATGTCACTGTTTGAGAAGAGGAGGTCCCATTGCCTCCAGTTTCTGCAAGTCTCCAGCCACAGACAACACCTTATTCCCATAACAAGACAAATGAATCAGAATAAAGGATTAAAGAGTACATTAAGATAAAATCAAAGAAACATTTTTACAAGCATATCATCTCAGTTACCTTAAAGGTTAAGTTTCAGATTAATTTACAAGAGTAGTGACAAAACCACATGATTTCAGTGAAAATCAACACGTTATACCTTAAAAAAAAGATATTTTCAAATATACTAAGTCAGGCAAGCATGCAAAAATTCAGAGAATAAAAAAATGGGAAGGCTTGTTTGCCCTTCAGGAGATTAGAGTTCATGATGCTGAACACAACCAAATGAATTAGAAGCTAAAAGGGGCACTTCTCTGAATCAGCAGACCAGTCCCCTCATTTCATGAGGAAAGTGGGCAGGCAGTCTAACTGGTGAAGCACAGCAACTAGATTAGGGGTACACGCAGATCTAGTTCGCAGTGCTATCTGCAATTACATGTATCTAAAATACCAGGAGATAAATATCCAGAGCATATTAAGCCACTGACTGAAAACATTTCAAGACTGATACACAGGGTGGGCAGTTAATACAGCACAGCAGCACATCTCACATATTTAAGAGATTAAAAGCAAAGACATTATCTTAAAGATTTTAATACTCAGTTCTGAAAAACACAATCATTTCCACTCAACTTTCTGATGTACAATAAAAAGCCTTCCCTTACTTTTGCCTTTCAAAACTGAGCATGTACATGTTATGATGTACATAACATGATGTTATATGTACATTTTAATTACACGTTTTAGGAATAAACAAAATCCATGATATTTCGGTAACTCATAGTGTATTTATAAAATGAAAAGCTATCAAAATACACTCTTCACTGGGAAAAATAAATAAAAGACAAATGAATCTACACAAAGTAAAAATTAACTTTGGTAGATCTCAGTGTAGGACAGTCCATAGCAAGCATATTTGCCCTTATTCCCCCAGAGCTGTTCATCTTCCAAGTTAAGATTTTAAAAATATTTTAGAGATCATTTGTTTCTCATTCCACGTCATCTTCAGCCAAGCTCTGAGCACTTACGATTCTCTGAAAAGAGAAAAAAAATTGTTTAACTCTTACAAAGTATCAGCATTTAATCAGGTTTCTAAGTTCAACAAAAATGCCCTTTCAATTTAAAGAAACAAATCTTGTTAAAGCTTACCCATTCTGAGATTTACTTCAACATTAAACACTTTATACATTATCATCTAAGAAAATAACTACTGTCAGTCTCATTTCAAAATTCAAATGAATAAAGGAGGCATATCATCATATTGTGCTACATGTTAGCCAGTTACATAACTGCAAACAAAATGTATCAAGATCCCTTTTTACTCCTACCTAAACTAAAAATACTGACTAGTGCTAAGAATGATCATTCTACCCTCCAAACATTTCCCTTTTTGGCCTGGAAATGTTCAAAATCATTATATAAAGAAGAAATACAAGTCTCAAATTAGCATTTTGAAAACATTTTCAGATAACATGAGACAAGTCAAATGAGTAAAAAAGATCATTAGCGAGAGGAATTCAGGCTTCATCCTGAATTCAAGACATCACTCTCTCTGGTCTATTTCCCAAAAGCTCTAGTTTAAATAATTTTTTTTTCTTTATTGATTTTTGAAGGGACAGGGATAGAAACATTGATGAGAGAGAACATCAACTGGCCGCCTCCTACATGCCCCTCTCTGGGGATCAGGCCCACAACCTAAGCATGTGTCCTGACTGAGAATCGAACCAGCGACCTCTTAGTGCATGGGTCGACGCTAAACCACTGAGCCCTACCGGCCAGGCTCCCAAAAGCACTATACGATGCTGTTTTCAAAGTGCAAATAATGTTAAGTACAGGTGCCCTGACCTGTTTGGCTCAGCGTTAGAGTGTCGGCCCGCAGACGAATGAGTAGCTGGTTCAATCCCGGCCAAGGGCACATACCTTGGTTGCACTCCATCCCCAGCCCAGGTCAGGTCGTGCGGGAGGCAACCAGTCGATGTTTCTCTCTTTCTCTTCCTTTCTCTCCCTCCCACTCTATCTAATGAGAAATAGAAAAACATCCTGGGGTGAAGATTAAAAAAAAAAAAAAAAAAATTAAGTAGAGGATTCAGATACAAACTGGGAACATTAGCCTAAATAATAAAGATTAAGACCAAGCCCTTGGTTTTTCAACCTCACCCCTAAATCTTTGGGATCTGTCTTTTCTTTAGTCCCTTTGTAATCTAATGGAGTAAAGATCAGTTTGAAGAATTAACCAGTCACCTTTCCGGCAGTGACGACCTCCCCAGGACAATATGCCTCTCGCAAGATCTCCTTCATCCCTCTCCAGAAGAGCAGAGGAAACACAAGAAGCAGCGTCTGGTGTGGAGCCCCAATTCCTACTTCATGGATGTAAAATGCCCAGGGTGCTATAAAATCACCACCGCCTTTAGCCATGCACACATACAGTAGTTTTGTGTTGGCTGTTCCACTGTTCTCTGCCAGCCAACAGGAGGAAAAGCAAGGCTTTACAGAAGGATGCTCCTTCAGAAGGAAGCAGCACTAAACACACCTCGAATCGAGATGAGTGGGGAAACATCCCAATAAACACATTTTGGATACAAAAAACAACAACAAATTAACCACTCATTTCACTAATTTTTAATCACACCAAATGTGGAAATTAACATATGTAACAGTCATACTATTCCAAAAAGCAGATTCATTTGGGCTGCTTGGGAAGGATTAAAAATGAACAGAATGGCCCAGCTACTCGTGAGGTCAGGGAGGGTTCAGGGTCTTTTATGACCTAATCTCCAGGTTTTGCCATCTCGGCTCCTCTGTTCTCTGCCATGCCACTGACCTGAATGCATGGTTTCACAAAAGAGTAGGCAGAAAGCTAGTTTTACAAAGTAGCCAAGGGGCTAAATTTTGGCATTTGAATACTATGTCCTGAGACTTAACTCTAAGAGACACACTTCCTGATCCGCATCTAGGACACAATCACTAGATGTATGCCAGTTATTTGGATGTTTGCCATTAGGGAAGAAAATTTCAAGCACTGTTATATTGAGTACTATTTTCATTATATGGATGAGTTTCAAAATTGCACCATTTCACTAGGCTCATTTAAAAATGCTCATGTCCCTGAACATTTAATCCTCAGATTCTACTTTTATTTCACAACATTTCAAATCCTTACCTGACTAATTGTTGGAAGCTTAGTCAGAAGCATCTGGAACACTGGTGGTGGAAGAGTTTGCTGTAATACTTGCAGTAATTGCTGTGGCTGTCCACATACCGCAATTGCATTGGTCAGATGATCTACACCCTTCTCATATTCACCTGGAAAATTTACATAAAAACAACACATAACCTGAAAAGCCTCTGCCTTTGTCAAGAATTCAACTCTTAAGTCTTCACTGTATCTCTATGTAATACTGACCCAAATCATGTAAAACCCTGGAAATAATCTATAGTACATTCATGTAACTGAATGTTATGGAGCTTTTAACAAGGACGAGTCAATCAGGCTGGTGTGGCTCAGTGGTGGAGCATCATCCCATGCACCAAAAGGTCACCAGTTCGATTCCCAGTCAGGACACATGCCCAGGTTGTGGGCCCAATCCCCAGTGGGGGACATGCAGGAGGTGGCCAGTCGATGTTCTCTCTCATCAATGTTTCTTTTTTTTTTTTTTTTAATCCTCACCCGAGGACATTTTTCCATTTTTTGTTCAGATAGAGCGGGAGGGAGAGAGATGAAGAGTCTCTCATCAATGTTTCTATCTCTCCCTCCCTCCCTCTCACTTCCCCTCTCTCTAAAATATCAATAAAGAAAAATAATAATAATATAAAAAAAAAGGACGAGTCAGATTATATGCACTGATATGAAATATCTCCACCCAGCCGGTGTGGCTCAGTGGTTGAGCATCGACCCATGCACCAAGAGGTCGCCAGTTCAATTCCCAGTCAGGATACATGCCCAGATTGTGGGCCCGATCCCTGGTTGGGGGCATGCAGGAGGTGGTCAATCAATGTTCTCTCTCTTGGAGAAAAAAAATTTTTTTAAATAAAATTTAAAAAATGAATAACATAACCCTCACATTACTAAATGCCTAAAAGCATATCTTGAAATACAGCCATGTACTGCTTACTGACAAGGACATGTTCTGAGAAATACAATGTTAAGCAATTTCACTGTTTAGGGAACATCAGAGTACACTTACACACACCTAGAAAGTATAGCCTTCTACACACCTCCTACTCAACAAGCCTATACAGCACATTACTATACTGAATACTATAGGCAACTGTGACAGTGGTATTTGTGTATCTAAACCTAAAAAGGTACTGTAACTTTATACAACTGGCAGCACAGTAAGTTTTGTTTTGCAGGGGAGAAAAACAAACAAGTTTAATTACAAGTATACCTCCTGTATACCTGAGACCCAGGAAAACTGAGAACCAAACCAAAACGGCTGAAGTCACCACCTTAAATATTAAAAACCATATTCCGCAGAAGACAAAAAATGATGGAAGTGGGGGAGTTAGAAAAGCACAGTAAACAAGGGTAAGATTGGTATAGACTTAAATCATTGTCCTCTGCATTAAATTTCTAAATATAAGGTCACCCCCTCTTCCCAGTTCAAGGAGGGAGACACCCTCACAAAGGGAGATTTCCCTTAGAGACGATTTGGGGATGACAAATCCTGTTCCTTACAGTTTAAACCTGGCAAGTGAGTAATGAATTGTGCTACAGAATGATGTTATGACAGCTAAAAAGTCACTAGGCAACAGGAATTTTCAGCTCCACGATAATCTTATGGGACCAGTGTTGTATATGTGATTCATCCTTAACCAAAACATCATTATATGATGATGATTCACGACAAGTTAGAAAAACTCTTTTTAAGAAATAGTTGTACTGAAACTGGGCCCTTAAACTGAAACCAGACCTAATAGTTCTTCCCTGAGTTTTTAGAGTCTGTTAGGAGATAACAGCAGGCCTCCTTCACGACACCTCAGAGACCCAGACCAAGCTGGATCACACTGGTCCCAGGGGCTTGCCCAGGCTCGGATCCCAGGAAGTGGATCCAACTGACCCCACCAGGTGGCCAGAACCAAAAGTTGTGTCTGGCCAAACCTTTGTGTGCAGACCCAGTCCTCACGGCCAGTATTCAGAAGCGAGGGGTACTGAGCACCTGGATCCCACCCCACTGACCCAGCCAACCTGGACTTCCTTTATGCTTTCTCTCACCTTCCCCATTCCTGCCCTAGGTGGCCTGTTTCCAAGACTGTCCACTCCAGACTCCCTGATTAGAATACATGGATATGTACAGTTTCCCCTTGCTCTTGCCCTCTAAACTCACTCCAGGTCTTTATTAAAAAAAAACTGATCTGAGGCTTGTCCTCTGTCTTGTTTGACTGCCAGTGGGATAAAACATTTTCTCAATGAACCCACCACCAAAATCCCTTATCGCTCAGCCGGTGCAGCTCAGTGGTTGAGCATCAACCCATGCACCAGGAGGTCGCCGATTCGATTCCCAGTCAAGGACAATGCCCAGGTTGTGGGCCAAATCCCCAGTGGGGAGCATGCAGAAGTCGGCCAATCAATGTTCTCTCTCATCGATGTTTCTCTCTCTCTCTCCATCTCCCTTCCTTTCTCTCTAAAAATCAATAAAGAGCCCTGGCTGGTTTGGCTCTGCGGTTAGGGCGTCGACCTGCGGTCCAGAGAGACCTGGATTCGGTTGCTGCTAAGGGTGCGTACCTCGGTTGCAGTTTGTCCCCAGCCCTGGTTGGTCGTGCGGGTGGCAGCCACTCGATGTGTCTCTTTCACGTCGATGTTTCTCTCTCTCTCTCTCTCTCTTCCTCCCACTCTACCTGAACAAAAAAATGGAAAAGTGTCCTCGGGTGAGGATAAAAAAATAAGATAAATAAATAAAACTTTTAAGCCCCTTATTAACATAAATTTATATCAGTGTGAAGAATTCTACCTAATTTTCTAGTCTTTTAATTTATTAGAATAAAGAAGTAAATCAGCCTCACATGGTGTCACTTGTGCTAAATACCCATGATATCAAACCTAGACTTAACACCTGATCTAATTGCAGTCTCAACATCTCCCAGAAACAATCTTTTCAAAATTTTCCCCCCTTATTGATTTTAGAGAGAGAGGAAGTGAAAAGGAGAGATAGAAACACAGATGAGAAAGAACATCGACTGGCCACCCCCATTGGGGACTGGGCCCACAACCTGGGCATGTGCCCCGACTAGGAATCAAACCAGTCACCTCTTGGTGCATGGGTTAATGCTCAATCACTGAGCCACACCAGCCGGGTCCAGAAACAATCTTAATGAATCAGTCTGGAATTTTCTGATCAAGAAACAATAAAGAGATCTGTCAAATAGGCCCTTCTCCATCCCCCAGAAAAAGAAAAGCTAATCTACGTGATAAAAACCCTTCCCCTTCTCTTCTCCCAAAGAAAAGATGTCCCCAATATAATTCTTTTCTTTCACTAATAGCTCCTTGCTTCCTATAAAAAATCCTCCATTTTGGCCCAGCAGGCGTGGCTCACTGGATTGAGCATAGTCCCATGGACTGAGAGATCCCGGTTCAATTTCCAGTCAGGGCACATGCCTGGGTTGCAGGCTGGATCCCCAGTGGGGGATGTGCAGAAGACAACCTATTGATCTCTCTCACATCGATGTTTCTCTCTCTCTCTACTTTCCCTTCTCTCTGAAAAATCAATAAAGCCCTGGTCAGTTTGCTCAGTGGTTAGAGTGTTGGTCCACAGACCAGTGAGTCATAGATTTGATTCCAGTCAGCTGCGGTTCCTCCCCGGCCCTGGTCGGGGTCGTGCAGAAGGCAACCAGTTGATGTGTCCCTCTCACATCAATGTTTCTTCCTCTCGCCCTCCCTCCCTTCCATTCTATCTGAAGATAAATGGAAAAATATCCTCAGGTGAGGAACAAAAAAAATAAAATGAAAAATTAATAAAAACGTCTTTTTAAAAAATCTTCCATTTCGTACAACTCCTTGGAGGGAGTGCCCTTCTAGTTGCTAAATGGGATGCTGCTCCATTCACAAATCGCTTAATAAAGCCACTAAGATCTGCAAATGAATTTACTTGGTTGAATTTTGTTTGTTTTTTACATGACTATTACCTTGGGCTAGTAACTCTTCACCCAGCTGTATTTCTTCGAGGAAGAATTTCTGAACAGCCTCAGCATCCTTAAGGTCAGGTAACTGTTTGAAGTAGAATATTTAATAATTGATAACAAAATTATGTCAGGGGCCACAACCAATAGACAGAAAATCACACCACTAAAAATAAAAACAAAAACTGAAATTTATTCATCCTTCAACAACACACATGAGGATTACTTTAGTATCTACACTGAAATGACTGTAAAAAAAAAAATACTTATTAATCAAACTGGCATTTGAACAGTTCTTAGAAAGCTGAGTCAAACTTAAAGTAAAAAAGGAATACAAATACAGCTACCATAAAATATACACATTACCATTTTTCGATCACATTATAGTTTTTTATGTAACTGTAATCAATTTGTTCTCCTATTCCAACTTTATTTTACAAAGATTTTACATGCGTCTAAAAGATTATACTTATTCTTAAATGGTAATAGAATATACCACTGAAGACTATATAATTGCATTTGGGCATTTGAGGTACTTATAATTTTTTGCTATTAAAGTTCCAAACAGCTTTATTTAAATAAGTTTACATTTTTGTGTTTTTATTTTAGTTTGTTACATATTACCAGACAGAATGATTATGGTAATATATAATGTCACCAGCTATTTGGTTTATCCTTTTAAAAAATGTAAACCTACTATTAAAAAGTTCCTCTTTATATAAAACACTAGAGTCATGTAAGTTTTTGGTTCTTAGATTATATTATATACACTCCTATTATCCAACACGGGTGGAAAAAAAAAATTAAATTTCTGAAAATGAAGATATCTCCTATTGACTATCCCAGCATACAGCAAGATTATGATCATACCTGAATCTAAAAATACATACTGTGTATCTGTCTTTAATGAATCTATTTCCCTGTATCCTTGAAATGACTACTGAAAACCTAATGAACACCTTTTTGAAAGGCAGTTTGGATACAATGGAACAACTAAATAGTTGTCTCCCAATTTCACTTCACTATTATCAAGTCTAATCAGTATGCTATGTTGATTACTCAATTGCTTCAAAATAACAAAATGTAACATTATCAACTAATTGTTTTCCTTGCTTAAACTTGTTTCAAAAAGAACCACTACTGAGCCCTCCCTGGTTTGGCTCAGCAGTTAAGAGTGTTGGCCTTCGGACAAATGAGTCTCGGGTTCAATTCCAGTCAAGGGCATGTACCTTGGTTGCGGGTTGTGTGGGAGGCAACCAGTCGATGTGGCTCTATCACATTGATGTTTCTTTCTTTCTCTCTCCCTCCCTCCCTCTCTCCCTCCCTCCCTCCCTCCCACTGTATCTGATAAGTAGAAAAATATCCTCAGGTGAGGAATTACAAAAAAAAAAACCACTACTGATCCAGTAGTCCAAGTCCTAGGAATCCAGAGAATGAAACTAATTTCAATAAAAAAGAAAAGCTATATGCACAATGATTAATATTTACTTACACATGTCACAGAATACTTTTTATCAAGCAGATAAAGCCTATGTAGTCATTTAAAATAATCATGAATACAGGATCTATGAAAAGAAGAAAATTTAAAGATTTATATCTGCATTTACATATTACAACTACGTAAAAAATTGGCAAGTGATGGAATTCTGGATCAGTGGGTGTGAACAATCTTTTTTTTTTTTAATCCTCACCTGAGGACATTTTCCAATATTTTGCTCAGATAGAGTGGGGGGGGGGGAGAGCGAGAGAGAGCGAGAGAGAGAGCGAGAGAGAAACATCAACATGAAAGGGACGCATCGAGTGGTTGCCACCCACACGACCCAACCAGGGCGGGGGACAAACTGCAACCGAGGTACATGCCCTCAGAGGGAACCAAACCCGGGTCTCTCCAAACCGCAGGCCGACACTCTAACCACTGAACCAAACCGGCCAGGGCAGGCATGAACTTTTAAAATGAATAGCCTATGGTTCTTCTAAAGGAAAGAAAATTTTATTTTATTTTATTATTTTGTTTTATTTTATTATTTTGAAGCAGTTAAGTGAGAAGGTTTGAGCCTCTTGGTATAAATGTCTTCTGAAGACTACCATCTTAATGCCCCTTAAACATTGCTTAGACAATAAGTTGTCCGCTGTTATGGCCAAAAAAGGGGGAAATAATGAAGGGCCAGGTGGATCATTTACAACTGAACTCAATTAACTATTCCTAAAAACAGCAAATCAGCCCAGCCAGTGTGGCTCAGCTGTTGAGCGTCGATCTAAGCACCAAGAGGTCGTTGGTTCGATTCCTGATCAGGACACATGCCCAGGTTGTAGGCCCGATCCCTAGGTTGGGGGCATGCAGGAGGAGGCCAGTCGGTGTTCTCTCTCATTGATGTTTCTCTCCCCCCACCCTAAAATCAATAAAGAAAAAAATATTTAAAAAAAAAAAAAAAAACCCCGGCAAATCATATTTTAAAATAGAACATCAAACTAACTTTCTCAAAATATACACTCGAAGTAAAGTTTTAAATAATTACTTCTATATAGTATATAATACAGGGGTGGGCAAAAATAGGTTTACAGTTGTTCATATGGAAAATAAGATAATTAATTAATAAATAATAAATTTTGTGTTTCATGTACTCACAAACTTTAAACCTACTTTTGCCCACCCCTGTACAATCTAAATAAAAAACAGATTCAGTATTACCTTGGAAAGTCCAGCTCTCTCCTTGGCAAGCTTTTGTTTCTTTCTTCCTATGAGAAATGAAATATATTCATTTCATCATTATTAAAATGAGAATCAAGAAGTTTAAACACTGTGGTAGTCATTCATTCTACTTCCAAAACATTATCAACTCTTGGGCTCTCCTTGTGATCAGTCAGGGTCATGTGACTAGTTCTAGCCAAGGAGCTTTGGGCAATGTGACGTTCAGGGCAGGAGGTTTTCCTTCATCCTGGGCACCAAGATCAGCCATTTACAAGATGGAGACAGCTCTAAAAGGTGGCTCTTTAGCGTAATTACAAGCAGAGCATGCCCTCCCTCCCAACCTACAAAGGACATGAAACAAGAGCCAGAATTAAGCCACTACTATTAGTTTCATTACTAAAATATAACCAATTCTATTTACTGAATGTTGGACATTGATTGGCATTCTTAAGTGGGGAAGGGAGGGAAATCAGCATTTGAAAATGAAAACAATAAATGATAAATGTAGTGTTTATGCATTTGACAAAAAAGGGGGGGATGGGAAATAGTGCTCAGAAATTCTTCATTCAACTATTGCTGGCTAGTGAAGGAAGAAAACCTCTGCCTACAGCCTCTAAGTTGTTTGGGGTTTTTTGGTCTTGTTTTTACTATGAAACAGCATGCTACACATCTCAGGAGTTAAGAGATGTTTAAAATCTTAATCATCCCTTAGTCAACCCTTAAAACCAAGTGACACTAACAGCATTTATTTATTTTATTTTTTTTTTCATCCTCACCTGAGGACATTTTTCCATTTTTTGTACAGATAGAGTGGGAGAGAGAGAGAGAGAGAAAGAGAGAGAGAGAGAGAGAGAGAAAGAGAGAGAGAGAGAGAGAAACATCGATGTGAAAGGGACACATCGAGTGGCTGCCACCCGCACTACCCATGCAGGGCCGGGGCCAAACTGCAACCGAGGTACATGCCCTTAGCGGGAACCGAACCCGGTTCTCTACAGACCGCAGGCCGACGCTCTAACCGCTGAGCCAAACCGGCCAGGGCGACACTAACAGCATTTAAACTGCCAATTAATTGTATACCCCATGTGACAATGTTGGTACAGAGGACACACAGGCTTTGTTTACATGTCAGTTCCTTCCACTTAACTAGCAGTGCTCCCTCAGGCAAGTGACAGTATCCTGTGCCTCACTTTCTTCCTATGTAAAACTGGTCTAAGAACAGTACCAACATTAGAGCTATGAGGATAAAATGAGTTAATGCATGTATTTTTTTTTTTTAATCCTCACTCGAGGGCATTCTTCCATTTTTTGTTCAGATAGAGTGGGAAAGAGAGAGAAACATCGACCTGAAAGGGACACATCAAGTGGTTGCCCCAACCAGGGCCAGGGACAAACTGCAACTGAGGTACGGGCCCCTAGCAGGAACCGAACCTGGGTCTCTCTGGACCACAGGTAGATGCTCTAACCACTGAGCTAAACCGGCCAAGGCAATACATGTATTTTTTAACGGTGCCTTGTTTATAACAAGCCATATAAGTATGTTATTGATATAGTTCAATATCAACTCCTCAGCTAAGGAGTTGTGCTATGCTAAAATACCTAAAGTCACTAAAAATTACCAGTGACATGAAGACTAACCATGTTACAAGGCATAGCTAAGAAATATAAGGCTCTATTATTTTTTTTCTTTCCTTTTTTCCCTTTTTATCCTCACCCGAGGACATTTTTGCATTTATCTTCAGATAGAGCAGGAGGGAGAGGGAGAAAGAGACAGAGAGAAACATCGATGTGAGAGACACATCGAGTGGTTGCCACCCACACGACCCCAACCAAGGCCGGGAACAAACTGCAACCTAGGTACATGCCCTTAGCGGGAACCGAACCTGGGCCACTCTGGTCCACGGGCTGACGCTCTAACTGCTAAGCCAAGCCAGTCAAGGCTCCTTTTTTAAATTTAATTAATTTTTGTTACAGATGTTTCTCCCTTTCCCCCCATTGATACCCTCCTCCTGCCCCGCCCAGACTTGTTGTCTGTGTCCACTGGTTATGCTTATATGCGTAAGTTCTTTGGTTTGTCTCTTCCTTCCCCCAAGGCTCTAATATTTATTACTTGGATGACCTCAGGTAAATCTCTTAACTCTCCAAAGATAAGGCACAGTTCACTTGACCACTGGAAGAAACAAAGTCATAATAAAACAAGTAAATGTCCTTCACAAATCCAAGTTCCAATGCCTGACTAAAGAGGCAGAGACCTTTAACCTATTAATTTACTATGGTCAGGGAGCCTTCTTTTCTTATCTAACCTTGCAAACTGGCTTTAACCACACCAGCATCTCTTGCCACCCTTAGCACTCTGAAACAAAGTGCTACAAATCCAAGGTTTAGTACTATTTTGAGAGTTTCAACAGAAAAATATAGATTACAGTTGATCTTGCATATTAATTTTAAGACTGCCTATTTTTTCTAACTACCCTTCTTAAATATTCATCACTGGGCAACCAAGTGTGGGGGAAAATAACATACAGCCCTGCGCAGCCAGTGTAGTTCAGTGGTTGAGCTTTGACTCATGGACCAATAGGTCATCGGTTTGAGTCCCAGTCAGGGCATATGCCCAGGTAGCAGGCTCCATCCCCAGAAGGGGGGCATACAAGGGGCAACCAACTCATGTTTCTCTCATTGATGTTTCTCTCTCTTCCTCTCCCTTCCTCTCTCAATCAATAAAAATGTATTTCAGCCCTGGCCGGTTTGGCTCAGCGGTTAGAGCGTCAGCCTGCGGTCCGGAGAGACCCGGGTTCGGTTCCCGCTAAGGGCATGTACCTCGGTTGCAGTTTGTCCCCGGCCCTGGTTGGTCGTGCGGGTGGCAGCCACTCGATGTGTCCCTTTCACATCGATGTTTCTCTCTCTCTCTCTCCCTCCTGCTCTATCTGAACAAAGAATGAAAAAGTGTCCTCGGGTGAGGATAAAAAAAAAAAAATGTATTTCAAAAAAGAGAGAGAGAGAACATACAGCCCTGGCCGAACCAGTTCAGTGGTTAGAGCACTGGCCCATGGACCTAAAGAGTCACAGGTTCAATCCCTGGCCCCAGTCAGGGTTGTGTGGGAGGCAACCAATCCATATATTTCTCTCAAATGAATGCTTTTCTCTCTCCCTCCCTCCTTTCCACACTAAGAAAAATCAATGGAAAATATCCTCAGGTGAGAATTACCACACACCAAAAGAACATATAACATATTCTACCCTCAGTTTGCTTAAGGCTTTTGTTTGGCCCTCTTTAGGCAGAAAATAACAAATGATACCAGACTATAGTAACTAATTCCTAAATATCATGGCATAGACTAGTGCTACAGGACTAGAAAGAGAAATGGAAGACTTCAAAGAGGAAACTGACATGAAGACAAGGAAGACTTGCCACAACATTCTTCTAAATGATATTAATTAGCTTATTTATTCCTAACAGTAACACTAAGACATGTACTATTATCATCCCCATTTTACAGATGAGAAAATTTATCAAGGTCACAACAAATAAGTGGCAGAGTGGTGATTCAAACTAAGGTAGCTGCATGTGTACTCCAACATTACTCAGTACTGCCTCTACACGCTGCAGAGGTGAAGACATTCCCATCAAAATAAAAGGCACCTCAGAAATGAACATGACAGCCCTGGCCAGTTTGGCTCAGCGGTTAGAGCGCCAGCCTGCGGTCCAGAGACCCGGGTTCGGTTCTCGCTAAGGGTACGTGCCTCGGCTGCAGTTTGTCCCCGGCCCTGGTTGGTCGTGTGGGTGGCAGCCACTCCATGTGTCCCTTTCACGTCGATGTTTCTCTCTCTCTCTCTTCCTCTCCCTCCCTCCCTCCCACTCTATCTAAAAAAAAAAAAGGAAAAATGTCCTCAGGTGAGGATAAAAAAAAAGAAATGAACATGACAAGGTGATAGAACAGAGAAATACAATTTGCTAAGCCAGAATTTATGTAAAATGACAAAAATGGTAATGAAACCCAGTAGACAGAAACTTAGTTTCCATTACTATCCAATGTTATAATTGTTCTGTTACAGGATGGAGAGGAGTGTGTTGTTGTTGTTGCTGAATGTTGAATACAGTTACCTACTTTAAAGATTGTTTAGTTGCTTTAAATTTCTAGCAATAAAATTAAAATTCTGGCCCTGGCCAGGTAGTTCAGTTAGTTAGTCATCCCGATGTGCCATGATTGAGGTTTTGATTCCTGGTCAGGGCACACACAAGAATCAAACAGTGAGTGCATGGATAGGTGGAGCAACAAATAAATGTTTCTCATCAATTAAAAACAAAATTGAAATTCTGGCTTTAGATTTATAAGACAACTTGTTACATTAACTTATTTTCAGATATAGTATCTATATCTATTATAAAGGGACAGATGATAGCAGACTGGCAAACCAATCAGCAAAATCAGGCCATGACTCAGTATTTGCTAGAAGTGAAGTGAGTCCAACTAGGGATCAAACTTGAAACCTAGGTATGTGCCCTGACAGGGAATCATACCCGAAACCTTTTAATATACAACTACACTCCAACACGGAGTCACCTGGCCAAGGCACAATTAATTATCTTCAGAGTGCAAAACCACTGAATTAGTTTCAACTGCTAAAGAAAATATCAAATAAATTGTATTCACAATCTTCTGGATTCAATTACTATGTGCCAGAGACTACTAAATTCTACCTTTATTATACCAATTTACAAAAGTGAAACTAAAATCTGAAGTTGGTTGCCCAAGGTTAGTCAGCTAATAATTCAAGCCTGACCACTTAAATCATTAGGCAACTGCTCAAGTAAGAAAGTTAATGAATTGCCCTGGCTGGTGTGGCTCAGCTGTTTGAGCGTCTTTCTGTGCACCGAAAAGTTGCTGGTTCGATTCCCAGTCAGGGCACATGCCCAGGTTGCAGGCTCCATCCCGGGTAGAGAGCATGCAGGAGGCAAGCTGACCAATGTTTCCAGATCACATCAGTGTTTCTCTCTCCCTTCCTTTCCCTCTAAAAATCTTCAAATAAAAAACAAAAAGAAAGTTAATGAATTAAAGATAGAAAAGAAATTTGGGGGGTGGGGGGGAGGGCAGATTTCTTTCTTTCTTTCTTTGGTTCATGCCCCTAGCAGGAACCGAACCCCGGACTCTCTGGTCCGCGGGTCGACACTCCAACCGCTGAGCCAAACCGGCCAAGGCCAGATTTCTTAATCTGTCTAAAATGGTAGTTTTTCCTCATTTCTTCAAACAAAAATTCTTCTCAAGGTTTCTGACAAGAAGATTGCAATATTTCCAAAGGAAGAAAGAATCTAATCTTTATACAGAACTATGTATCTGCAACTAATTTTGAAACTACAGGAAACTGATCTAAATTCCAATAGTTCCCCTTAGGGCAAGCATTAATAGAGGGATCTTCCCAGTGTCATGAAGGTAGTGGACACTTCAAACATTTTACTTAATCTTCACAAAACCAACCAGACAGAGGTGGCATTAACTGATTTTACAAACTAAGAAAATTAAGATTCAGAAATCCCAAGACTATGCTGCTGCTCATCTGTGACTAACCTGGGCCTGGAAACTCAGTGTTAATCCAAAGTAACATTCTGTAAATGAAAGAAACATTCAAATCTGTAGAAAATTTTTATGAGTTTATTTGCGCCAAACTGACAACTGCCGGGAATCAAAATCTCAACGAATTGAGAAAATGCTCCACAGAATGGCTGCTCTGCATCTTATTTTAAACATTTCAACCAAAAGAGAAGATGATGTTAAGTGAGTTACATGAAACTCATTGGTGATAGATTAGGGAGGTGGGAGAAAGTAAAGCAGAGAAACCTCTGGGATTGGATGAAAAGTAAAATGAGAGTCCTTGGCCAATTTGACTCAGCAGTTAACAGCACTGGCCCTCAGATCAGAGTCTCGGGTTCGATTCTGGTCAAGGCCACTTACCTAGGTTTCTATTCAAGCCCGGGCCCTGGTCGGGGTCACATGGAAGGGAACCAATCCATGTGTCTCTCTCACATCCATGCTTCTCTCTCCCTCCCATTCTCTTTGAAAAATCAATGGAGTCCAGCTGGGATGGCTCAGTGGTTGAGCATCAACCCATGCACCAAGAGGTTGCCGGTTCGATTCCTGGTCAGGACACATGTCCAGGTTGTGGGCCAAATCCCCAGCGTAGGGCATGCTGGAGGCAGCCTGTTGATATTTCTCTCTCTCTCTCCCTCTCACTTCCTCTCTCTCTAAAATCAATAAAGGGGGGAAAACTTTTTAAAAAAAGAAAAGAAAAAAGAAAAATTAATGAAAAAATATCGTTGGTGAGACTTAAAACAAGTAAAATGAGCCCTGGCCAGTTTTGTTCAGTGGTTAGAGCATCGGCCTGCGGTCCAGAGACACCCGGGTTCAGTTCCCGCTAAGAGCATGTACCCCGGTTGCAGTTTGTCCCTGGCCCTGGTTGGGTCGTGCGGGTGGCAGCCACTCGATGTGTCCCTTTCACGAGGATGTTTCTCTCTCCCTCCCTCCCACTCTACTGAACAAAAAGTAGAAAAATGTCCTCGGGCGAGGATTAAAAAAAAAAGTAAAAGGATAGACACATACTTCTTTTACACAGGTGAATACAGGATCAACAATTACCTCAATAACAATGAGAGTATTTGTGATCTGCACAGAGCTGTGCCCGTGCTTTGAGTTCAAAAAAGGGAAAGTACTTTGTTTTTTGCAAAGGCATGTTTACCAGTTACATTATCCTATATGTAAGAAGACAACAGTCAGGACTGGTTTGGCTGAGGAGTTCGAACATCGGCCTCCGGGGTTCAATTCCCAGTCCAGGATACATACCTGGGTTGCAGGTTGCATTCCCATGCTGGGATGGTGTGGCTGGGGTGATGCTGGAGGCGACCAATTGATGTTTCTCTCCCTCCCTTCCTCCCTATCTAAAAACTCCATGGAAAAATATCCTCTGGTGTGGATTAAAAACAACAACAAAAAAGACAACAGACAGGTTTAGTTAAGGAGGAGACTGACCTTTGTTAGGGTATTGCCTTAGGACATGACTACCCACTCTGAACAGCTTTTAGTTAAAAAATTTTAATTTTAGACCATCCTATGTGGTTACTTTATAAGTCTCTGAGTTTGTAAGGCCACCATGCAGGCTTCCCCTGACCTTGTCAGGTTTAGTATTTGGCCCCTTTTCGTCCACAATTCTACCTAACCTTAAATTAAATATATTATCTCTGTCTCGCTGCCCTCCTAAAATGTAAGCGAGTGAGAATTCGGTGTCACATTTCATATGGTGTAAGATTAGCGCGGTCCAATACGATCGTCACTGGGCACGTGTGGCTACTGGACACATGAAATGCCTTATTAGAGCTTCAAAGAAATAGTATGGAATTCGATCATCACTTCTTTGTACTTTCAGGGCTTCAATACCTTAAATATCCATTTTAACTTCAGAAAAAACTGTTTTTGAGCAACCCAGGTAAGTTTCAAATGTTCTTCCAACAAACGTGCTCGTCTTTTGTGGACGAGCACGCCCCCGAAATTCAGAGCTCACAGGCTCAGGCGGCCGACCTCGCCGTCGAGCTCCTCCTACACGTGTCGCGGGCGCGAAATGAGGCCGCGCCAGGGCCGACGGCGGCCTTTGGACTCGCCCGCGGTTCTGTAGCATTCGCTCGTGTCCCGGGGGCACGGGGGAGCCGCGGGAGGGTTGGAGAATGCAGGAGGCCCGCCGCGGGCTGGGCTCACGCGGGCGTGTGCAAAACACTGGCGCACGACGTTCCGGTTACAACAGAGGTCTTAACAGGTGAAGGCGAAAAAGAAACCCAAGACCACCCCCCCCAACACACGCCCTGAGCTATTACACAAACAAGAATGCAGGTGTACGACACGGTGGGAAAACAAAATGGGAAACGTTCCCGGCCCTCCGAAATGGAGGGCCCGCAGGCCGGAGCAGCCGCTCTGCGGTTGGGGCTCGCGGCGGCGGCCGGCCCAGCAGGCGGGAAGCAGCAGGCCGGGCCGGGGACCCACTCACGTTCTCGCAGCCTGTTCTTGAAGTTGGGGTCACTCCGTCTCTTGCGGTCGAAGTAAATGCAGTACCCGATGAAGAGGGCCCCGCACACGCCGGCGGCGATGGCGCTGTTCCGGCCCACCATCTTCAGTCGATGGCGGAGAGGGGAGGCGGCCGGGGGGTCTGGGGCTCAGGCCGCTTACCACGAACCCTCAGAGCGGACGGTACCGCTCAAACTGACGCCCGCCGCGAGGGAACGGGAAAGGCCGAGCGCGACATTTCCGGCCCCGTCACCCGAGGCCCTCGGGCCGTCCGCCGCAGTGCCTGGGAGGAAGCTCCTGAGCCGTCCGCCGCAGTGCCTGAGCGGAGGCGCCCGAGCGGCGTCTGCGCCTGCGCAGGGGGCTTAGGCGGCGTCTCTGAGGCGCCTGGAGCGGTGTTCGCTTCGGTGTCCGGAGTTTGCGAGTAATCCGAGCTTCCGGGAAAACCGCGGAGCCCAACCCACCGAGGGGCGCGCGTGGCCGCCGTGCACGTACGCACGCCCGACGGCCTGGCTGATGTCAAGGGCCTCACTTTATTTATTTTTAATTTTAGAGAGAGGAAGGGAGCGAGAGAGAGACATCAGTGAGAGAGAGCATGGACTGGCCGCCTCCTGCATGCCCCTCGCTGGACCCTGGGCCCACAAGCTGGGCATGTGCCCTGGCCAGGAATGGAACCGGCCCTTCACTTTATTCTTGTCTAACGCGTGCAGCCTCTGACTGCATCAAGTTCAGCCACAACCCATTGTGCAACAAGCACCATAATCTAAACTCAGTTTCCAAAGAATGTTACAATATGGTATCATATGAGTGGAAAATTAAATGGAGCAATTGCTGGAAAAATATAACCAGTAAAAGAAATTGAAGGAAAAAAAAAATAGAAAACGTGAGCTGTTTTATAGCTACAGAAAACATGATATATGTGGGGTAAAATTTAAAAGGGTAAAACCGGCCCTGGCCGGTTTGGCTCAGCGGTTAGAGCGTCGGCCTGTGGTCCTGAGAGACCCGGGTTCGGTTCCCTCTAAGGGCATGTATTTCGGTTGCAGTTTGTCCCCGGCCCTGGTTGGTCGTGTGGGTGGCAGCCACTCGATGTGTCCCTTCACGTCGATGTTTCTCTCTCTCTGTCTCTTCCTCTCTCTCCCTCCCACTCTATCTGTACAAAAAATGGAAAAATGTTTTCCGGTGAGGATAAAATAAATAAATAAATAAAATAAAAGGGTAAAACCGTGCCCTGGCCGGTTTAGCTCAGCGGTTAGAGCGTTGCCCTGCGGGCCAGAGAGACCCGGGTTCGGTTCCGCTAAGGGCATGTACCTCGGTTGCAGTTTGTCCCGGACCCTGGTTGGGTCGTGCGGGTGGCAGCCTGTCGATGTGTCCCTTTCACGTCGATGTTTCTCCCTCTCTCTTCCTCTCCCTCCCTCCCACTCTACCTAAACAGAAAATGGAAAAATGTCTTCGGGTGAGGATAAAAAAAAAGATAAAACCTTGAGCAAAAAGACACTAAACTGAATTGTACTTTGCGGAGGGCTTGGGGAGAGAAGGCAGCACAGGGTTAGGTAGAGCTGAGCTGGCCTCTGCCCCAGTGCGTCGCGACCACTTTGGGGGTCGCCCAAAACATACTTCCGATGGTCTTAGGAACTGAGACACGGCTCCTCTATCCGTCTCCAGGTGGTCTGCCCACATGCAGATACGCCCGGTACCAGATAGGACCTGTATTAAAGGGTCCCAGCATTAGGAAAGTTGAGAACCTTCAAAGTGACAGGCAGGTCTGGCTACTTGTAACCTTATTTTCTTTAATCTGACCTTTTATTTAGATTTTTTTTTTCCACTTTGACCCAAATGGGCCTCACCATTAAGCCCTCAGGACAATGAGGTTCTCAGCATCCAGTACTCTTTGTTTTTTTCTAGTTAATCCTGGGGATATTTTTCCATTGAATTTTAGATAGAACAGAAGGGAGGGAGAGGGAAACAGAAATATCAATGTGAGAAAGACACATTTATCAGTTGCCTCCCACATGACCCCTACCAGGGCAGAGGATCAAACCCACAACCCAGGTACATGCCCTCAACTGGGAATCGAACCCACGACCCTTCGGTCTGCAGGCTGATGCTCTAACCAAGTGAGCTACCTAGCCAGGGCTAGATAGAATTTTCAATAAAACTAAACATGGTATCTTGGCCTCAGTTGTGTTTTAGCTCCAGACCCTAAAAAGCAGAATCCCACAGAATAAATCCTTGCAAAATCGGACTGAAGAGCTCCATTGCTGACATCAGGACCAAATACAGTGATAAATTACCCCTCCCCGAGCATTCACCGATCAGTGGAGACCACAACGCTAACCCTATTAGTCACCATGATTAATGATTTTTCCCTGTATAATCCATCCCCTAGAAGCCATCTGGAAACCAGGTCTTTGAGTATGTGCTTCCTGTGATTCCAGGCATGGCACCATCTCCTTAATAAATCCCTAAGTTCATGTCTTGTTGGGCTTTGATGTGTGCAGGCAAATGGATCCCTTTAGTCTGGTGACATATTCTTGGTGGCCCTGGAAGGTAGTTGTGCCAAGAAGGTGGCACAGGGGCTAGATGACCACTTGAGTACAGGGTTGGGGCTTTGATCCAGGTGATATCAGCCCTACCTCTGGGGAGTGGAGGAGGGCCAGAAATTGAGTTCAGTTTCGGGTCCTACACAGTGAAACCCAAATAAAAACCCTGGACCCAGAGCAGAACTCCCAGGGTTACATCAGTGTGCCTCGTGCTAGGACAAGGTGTCCTAATTCCACGGGGAAGGGAAAACGGAAGTTTCGCATTTGGGACTTTTCCAGAACTCTCTTCTATACATCTTTCCCTTTGATGAGTTTTGATTTGTATCCTTTTGCTATAATAAAACTATAACTATAAGACATTACTGAGTCGTGAGTCCTTATAGTAAATAGTTGTAGTTAGCTGCTTAGAAGAGTGGCCCAGACCCCCTCTCCCCGGATTTGTGATTGATGTCTGCAGTGAGAGCTGTCTTGTAGGGGACTGTGCCCTTAACCTATGAAGTTTGGCCTAACTCTGGGTAGTTGGTGTCAGAAGTTACTGCAAGGGTACTATGGAAACATTAGGCTGGAGGTCCTAACCTGGAGCCTGGGCAGGCCCTTCTGCTTAAAGGGCGATGAAGATGAGACCCTATGTGGAAGACTGGAGATTGGAACAAAGGTATGTGTGCATTGCTTGGACTGGGGTGGGATAAGTGGAAGGGTATGGAGATGCATACGTACCAAAGCAAATTATTGAGATCAGAGGATTGCACATACTTTATAGCCTGCACACAAACATTCTGATTCTCCCTGTCCAAAAAGGCTGTCAGTGAACCTCAACTGATAGAGAGAGGTGTGTCGTGAGCCTACGGTGTACTGGAACACAAAAGACTTTCCAAGGCCACACAGGTGACATGAGGCCTAGAACTCAACCCTCCTGAAAAGCTGATATTACATGGCCACTAGATTAATACTCTTCTCTGTCCCTACACTGTGCATAGTAATACAACATAAATGTGAGGTCACTACTATGAGGTACAAGAGACCAGATGACATGTTATACAATGCATAGAGCAACATCTGCGTCTTTGAAACCTTTAACCCCTCTACATTTCTTTTTTTATTTTAACTAATTTTTTTTTAATCCTCACTTGTGGACATTTTTTATTTTATTTTGTTCAGATAAAGTGGGAGGGAGAGAGAGAAAGAGAAACATCGACATGAAAGGGACACATTGAGTGGCTGCCTCTCGCACGACCCAACCAGGGCTGGAAACAAATTGCAAGTGAGGTACGTGCCCTTAGCGGGAACCAAACCCTGGTCTCTCCATACCGCAGGCCAACGCTCTAACCACTGAGCAAAACCGGCCAGTGCTAACCCCTCTACATTTCTAAGTATCTGTTGTAAAAATCCTGCAATAGGAACAGCCCAGAGGCCCCTAGGCATGTGTCTATGAGTAGAATCATTAGTGAGTTGTGGAATCACCTCAGTGGATCATTACATATTTTTTAAAGTTTTTTTTCTTTATTGATTTGAGAGAGAAAGGGAGAGATAGAAACATCAATGAAAGAGAACATCGCCCGGCTGGTGTGGCTCAGTGGTTGAGCATCGACCCAGGCACCAAGAGGTCGCCAGTTCTATTTCTGGTCAGGGCACATGCCTAGGATGTGGGCCCGATCCCCAGTGGGGGGTATACAGAAGGCGGCCAATCGATGTTTCTTTCTCTTCCTCTCATTTCCTCTCTCTAAAATCAATTTTTTAAAAAAAGAGAACATAAAGCCGTTTCATAAAAACAGTATCAGACACCAATACCTGTATTAAGGAACAGTATTGTCACGTGAAACTTTTGTATCAGTTAAAGACATCTGTGTTTGTACTGGTCACGATGTAAAATTAAAGATATTGTGGACTTTGGCCTGGTGGTTCAGTTGGTTGGAACATTGTCCCAATATGCCAAGGTCATGGGTTCAGTCTCCAGTCAGCACACATAGAAGAACCAACCAATGAATGCATAAATGAGTATAAAAACAAATCGATGTTTCTCTCTCTCTCCCTACCTCCCTTCCTCTCAAATTAATCAGTCAATCAATCAATAAAAAGCTACTGTATGCCTGGGCCGGTTTGGCTCAGCAGTTGGAGCATTGGCCCAGGTTTGGTTCCCACTAGGGGGATGTACAAAAAAAAAAAAAAGCTGTTGTAAATTACGGTCAAAAAAGGTGTGAAACCACTCATCTAATCCAAGACCCTTATTTTACTAGGTGTATTGTAGGGGACAAGCTATTTAGATAAAGAGGCTTGTCCAAGGTTATGTATGTACAGCCCAGAGCTGCATTAGGATCAGATGCCCACCCTGGTCGGTTTGGCTCAGTGGCTGGAGCATCGGCCAGTTGTCCAGAGAGGCCTGGGTTCGGTTCCCACTAAGGGCGCATAGCTCGGTTGCAGTTTGTCCCCAGCCCCGGTTGGGTCATGTGGGAGGCAGCCACTCGATGTGTCCCTTTCCTGTCGATGTTTCTCTCTCTCTCTCCCTCCCACTCTATCTGAACAAAAATGGAAAAATGTCCTCGGGTGAGGATTTAAAAAAAAAAGAGAGTCAGATGCCCTAGCCCGGCTGATGTGGCTCAGTGGTTGAGTGTGGACCCATGCACCAAGAGGTTGCTGGATCAATTCCAAGTCAGGGCACATACCCAGGTTGTGGGCCGTCTCCAGTGGGGGGCATGCAGGAGGTGGTCAGTCAATGTTCTCTCTCATTGATGTTTCTATTTCTCCCTCTCCCTCTAAAATCAATGAAGAAAAAAAAATCACATGCCCTAACACCCTAGTCCAGGGCGCTTTACATGAAGACCTAAGAAACCAAAAGGAACACTCTATATTAAGGACACTAAAATATATACATTTCTAGAAACATATACTATACAGCATATATAATTAAATAATGTACACTATAAAATACACCTAGTAAAATTATAAAGTATATCTGTAGAGACAATCTGTATAGTCTATAGTTGTTGCATCTTTATATAAATTTAACTGGAAACATGTGCAAAAATGCTCAAGAAATAAATATTAAGTATTTACTTAACCCTACTTATGACAAACAAGGGTCTAAGTTCCAGAAAGGATACTAATCATAAAATATCCAACCCTTGGATACAGGAAAATGAAGCTGTTTTCTACAGAGCTACACTGTAAAGCCACATTAAGTTTGCTTGTGCTACATCCACAATACAGGATTGTCAAAATAATCAGTAATTACTCACTGTACCACAGTTGTATGGTACATGTATTACAGATTCTGCCTATCTCAGATCAGACCCCACCCCTCCCTCCTGGATACACTCGACTTGTGAGCCAGGACACCAGCTGTCACAGCTTGTCTCAAGGGAATGCAATGGTATCCTCATTCCTTGCTGAACTTCTTTGCAATTTAATCACCATTTTTATCAAACATTCCCTTTAAATATGATTTTCTGAGATTGCTTCATTAACTGAATAATCACAAGTTTCCCTGGGAGAATATTTTTCAAAATAAAAATCGAAATAAAAGCAGAAACCTGTTTATAGGCCAGTTTGCCAAGAGCTTCAGTAACCAGTCTAATCACAGGTTAGTAAGAAATTAGCCCTGGCCAGAGCATAGTCCTGATATGCCAACGTTGCGGGTTTGATCCCTGGTCAGGACACATACAAGAATCAACCAATAAATGCATAAATAAGTGGAACAATAAATAGATGGTTCTCTCACCCTCTAAAATAAAATAAAACCCAGAACTCCAATTATCACAAGTGTAAAAGAAAGGAAGAAAAAGGAGTGACTTTAATAGCCCTCAAACCTTTCTTCTTAGGAATTGTGATCAGACCTTAGATCAGTATTCGCACTGTAATTGTTTACTTTGTCTAGATACAATCAGTATTAAAGTTTAATGTTTTTTCTTTACTTTTTAATTTAATCTCAAAGTAATTCTCGAAATAACTGTCTGAAGTGTTAATTATATATTTCTAACAGACACTAAAATAATAGTCACTAAAATTCTAAATGTTTACCCTAAATTAAAACTGATCTCACGCCCTGGCCAGTTTGGCTCAGCGGTTAGAGCGTTGGCCTGCGGTCCGGAGAGACCCGGGTTCGGTCCCCGCTAAGGGCACGTACTTCGGTTGCAGTTTGTCCCCGGCCCTGGTTGGTCGTGCGGGTGGCAGCCACTCGATGTGTCCCTTCACATCGATGTTTCTCACTCTCTCTCCCTCCCACTCTATCTGTACAAAAAATGGAAAAATGTCCTCGGGTGAGGATAAAACAAACAAACAAACAAAAAAAAAAAAAAAAACTGATCTCTTATACCATTAGCAGTAACACATAATCCATGCCTATATCTTTTTCTTGTTTTAAAAATAAATTTTCTTTATTGATTTTAGAGACAAAAGGGAGGAGAGAGACAGAGAAACATCAATAAGCGAGAACATTGACTGGCTGCCTCCTGCATAGCCCCCCACTGGGGATTGGGCCCACAACCTGGACATATGCCCTGACTGGGAATTGAACCGACGACCTCTTGATGCATGGGTTGATGCTCAACCATTGAGCCACACCAGCCAGGCTCTACCTATATCTTAAAACAAATGTTCCAAAGGTACTATTTTCAATTAGAATAACTGAAAAGTGTCCATGTTCACATACACTATCCATAAAAAATTCTGAAACTCAATAGAAGGGTTCACCACATTTTTATTTCCAGTTCTCAGTAGAAAAAAAAAGCTTCAAATTGCTACTTCTGTTTCTTAGTTCGTCCACTTTTCTTCTGTCCTTTCTTTTTCTTCTTGACAAGAACAGCTTTTTCTCCAATAAATAAACTTTTAGGATGTCCTACATTTTTTGAAGCAACGTTAAGTCCCTTCTTAGGTTTACTAACATTCTTCAAACTGGGTTTTGAATTTTGTTTTATGTTTTCTTTATTCATAGAACGCATGACTCTGAGTTTTCTTCCCATCAGTTCAGAATTATTTAATTTCAGAGCAAGATGAACAGCATCTGTATTCTGCAATAAAAATCAATATATTCATTATAACCAGAAACTCATCTGCAAAGAAACTAATAAAATTGCAACTTGAAAGGATTATAACAGCTTGTACATGGAAAACCCTCCCCTTTCTGTATCCAGGAGGTCCAGTCCCAGTGTGCCAGCTGCTGTGGTCTCCTTTTCTAAAAAATTTTATGTTGTTGGAAGTATCACAGATGTCCCTCCTTTTTTTCCTCTCTCCACACTGTCCTCCCCACTCCCCCTGCCCCCGCCTTCACCGCACTGCTGTCAGTGCCCACTGGCTAGCACACATGCATGTAAGTTCTTCGGCTGATCTCTTCCCGACCCCCACTTCCCTTCCCTCTGAGATTTGTCAGTCTGTTCCCTACTTCCATGTCTCTGAATCTTTTTTGTTCATCAGCTTATTTTGTCCATGATGTTCCATAAATAAGTGAGATCATGTGATACTTGTCTTTCTCTGACTGGCTTATTTTGCTCAGCATTATACTCTCCAGGTCCCTCCATGTCGTCTCAAAGGATGAAAGATCTTTCTTTCTTACAGCTGCATAGTACTCCATTGTGTACATGTACCACAGCTGTTTAATCCACACATCTACTGATGGACACTTGGGCTGTTTCCAGGTCTTAGTGATTATAGTGCTGCTATGAACATGGGGGTGCATACACTCTTTCTGACGGGTGTTTCAGGCCTCTTAGGATATATTCCTAGAAGTGGAATCAATGGGTCAAATGACAGTTCCATTTTTAATTTTTTGAGGAAACACTAAATTGTTTTCCATAGTGGCTGCACCAGTCTTCATTCCCACCAGCAGTGGATGTGGTCTTTTAATTATGCTCCTCACATGCTTCCACAGGAAGTACTCAAACTGCCAGGAACGTGCCTTGAATGGGAATCAAACCTGCGACCCTTTGGTCCACAGACCAACACTCTAACCACTGAGCCGAACCAATCAGAGTTTTCTTGCTTTTTGGTTTTTTTTAATCCTCACCCGAGGACATTTTTCCATTTTTTGTTCAGATAGAGTAGGAGGGAGGGAAGGAGAGAGAGAGAGTGAGAGAGAGAGAAACATTGACGTGAAAGGGACACATTGAGTGGCTGCCACCTGCACAACCCAACCAGGGCCGGGGACAAACTACAACGGAGGTACACACCCTTAGCGCGCACCAAACCCGGGTCTCTGTGGACCACAGGCTGATGCTCTAACCGCTGAGCCAAACCGGCCAGGGCAACCAGGGTTTTCTTAAAGCTAGCTGGTAATACAGGTCAGGAGTCTTAATGGTCATAAATCTTGTCCACCCGCTGTGGCTCAGTGGATTGAGCGTTGTCCCATGGACTGAGAGGTCCCAGTTCAATTCCTGGTCAGAGCACATGCCCAAGTTGTGGGCCAAATCCCCAGTGGGGGGCATGCAGGAGGTGTTCAATTGATGTTCTCTCTCACTGATGTTTCTATCTCTCTCTCCCTCTTCCTTCCTCTCTCTCTAAAAATCAATAAAGAAAAAAAAAATTATCTTCCATTGCTCAATACAACAGATAACAACGTAAAGCTGGTTGCAAAATTTTATGTGCACAGATATAAGTTCAACTAAAAAAAGGCACAAGAAATAATTGAAAGGAAATGTATCAGTGATGTGGAGGAAGAACTAAAGTGCCATCAGACAGTGTGTATGTTCTAATTTTAAGTATGTTCTAATGTTAGGCATGAAATACTGATAGTATGTAGTGAACTAAACAGAACTAGTTTTGTACAAGACTAAAATTTTCTACCTGAGTGACAGGTCCATTCTATTCTCCATTTTACAGAACGTAGAGATTCAGAGTTCACACCTTTAATATCCAATATTTAAAATATTAATAACATTGACACGGAGAACTGGGGAACTGGAACATCTTCTGTCTAGGTGCAATTCTATTATGACAGTTTCTGAATTCAGGAATTTGAGAGTGACAGTGATAGTTATGTCTGAATGATGAAACACAGCGACAAGCCCTCCCGGCTTATTTCAAAGAACAATGACAACACATTAGTCTCCCATACCTCAAAGAGCACATAGCCAAACCCTCTGCCGACACCTGTCAGTTGGTCTCTCACAATCCTTACTGCCACGATGTTTCCACAGTCCAAAAAGTGGTCTTCAACCGCAGAGTCTTCAACTTCTAAAAACAAATTCAACCAAAGTGGAAGCAAAGCCTCTGGTTCGCCTTAGGAAGCTGGAGGCTTCATAACACAGCAAGTTACACAGTCCATGGAAACCAGTTGTGCTACATTCCACACTTCTTAAAGTTACTCTTAAGGCAAAACAGTTACTACTCAGTGGTTAGTTTAACAATAAACAGGTGCTTTGTTTATGCATACTTACTGTACGGGAGGTTCCCCACAAACACTGATCGTTTGTCCCTCTGAAACACAAAGAGAAATCCCTAACTGGAACAGAGAATGGAGTCATCCTAAGACCCAGCCTTTCCCTCCCCCACGCATGTGAAAGGGGCCCATGGCCTGTGTCCACCTCACACCTGTCCCTTGTTTGAGTCTGTCTCTTATATCTTCTCCACTGGAATGGGAGTGAGCCTGCAGGAGGGCGTGGGCTTTCGTTCACAGCGAACAGTGACTGGCACCTGGCAGTGCTGGAGAAAGGCGGCTACGTCGGGGGAAGGGCCAGATGGCAAATACTTCGAGCTCTGTGGGCCCTGTGGTCTCTGCTGTAACTACTCGCTTCTGCCACTATGCCACGGTAATACCTAACCTAACGGTGTGGCTGGATACTAATACAATTTTTTTTGTTAATCCTCACTCAAGGATATTTTTCTATTGATTTTTAGAATGAGTGGAAGGGACAGAAGGGAGAAAAACACTGATGTGAGACATATCAATTGGTTGCCTCCCGAATGTACCCTGAGACTGGGGCCAGGGATCAAACCTGCAACCCAAGTACGTGCCCTTGATTGAAAATCAAACCCATAACCCTTTGGTCCAGCCACTGAGCCACAATCACAGCCAGGGATGTCAACAGCCTTTGTCATTTCTCAACTAGGCCACTCTACCACCACCAGTAGTGTATTCTATGCTTCTGTGGTGAGCTTATAAACCATCCTTCAAGAGACCTCTTTAAAATGCAAACCTGGTCACCTCACTCCCCATTTAAACTTGTGGAACACCTTCCAGAGAGGACCCACACTCATCATGGAGACCAGAGCCTCTACCTATCTACCCAACAACACTTTTTTGTGTTGTTAATCCTCACCCGAGGATATTCTTACATTTATCTTCAGACAGAGTGGGAGGGAGAGAGAGAAACATCGATGTGAGAGACACACATCGATTAGCTGCCACCCACACAACCCCAACCAGGACTGGGGATGAACTGCAACCAAGGTACATGCCCTTGGTGGGAATTGAACCCGGGACTCCCTGGTCCTCAGGCCGACGCTCTAACTGCTGAGCCAAACCAACCAGGGCCCAATAGCAACTCTTAACACTGCCCCTCCTCACACTCCACCCACTAACAACTGTAGCAAGCTCTCGCCAACCCCTGAGCAAATGAACTTTTGCTCCCCACCATTTCTACTGTTTTTCCTGCCTGAATATCCTCATCCTCTTAATTTTTTTTGCTCTAGGTAACACTGACTTATCTTGCAAGACTGAAAGATAAGTTCTTTCTACCTGTTCCTCTTGCTGATACCTCCCTAAGTCCAATGTGCCATTCCTGACCATTTATGGCAGTATTCATCATAAAATAGTAATGTCACAATCAGCCCATCTGTTCATCTTCAACTATACTGGGAACTCCTAGAAAATTGAAACGATCTTAGCACAGTTTGCCTGACACAGAATAAAGACTCAAAAACTATTCAATGAGAAATTTAACTTCTTAGACCGCAGTCCATAGACTGTTTGCCCAGAAGTCCCTAATGTACCTTCCAGACTAACTCCCCAAGATTATTTCCACCTAATGGTGAGAATGGGAGGCCAAGTTCCAGAAGCTACTGTGACTTAATTCCTGTGTCATCTAGGGACCAACGCTGCAGCCAGATGGCAAAGCTGTTCCCTTCTGTTTCCCTCATACTGCCGATTTCCACTCCTCTCCAAGAAAAATCTCAGAAGAAATGTTTCTCTCTACAGACTAAGTTCTTTAAACACACATGTACTACTTACAGATGAGGTCTCTGAGGCAAGATCAACCCTAACACGGAATCCATCGGCAATCTGGGCCCCGTTCCTGCATCACACACGCAAAGGGAAACGGCCGTTACTGTAACGTGCTCTAAGGTGAAACCAGAGAATTAAAAATACTCAGAGATAAAATTACCTATTCAATGCTTTAGTTGCAGCTCTCTCATCCTTAAATACAACATAAGCATTAATATTTTTCTGATCAGGATGAATTTTACGTCTACAAAAGAAAAAAAACAGTAAAATTTGTTAATCTCAAAGTCACCAAAATAAATACTGCTTGTTTTCTATTCTCAATCAACACATACGATAGAATTCCTAGGGGAAGTTTTCTCTTTCAATAAATATTTAGTAATAACTCAAAAATAACACAGCACTTACACAGACTACAGCCAAAACATGTAACCCATACCTTTTTTTTTTTTAATCCTCACTCAAGGATATTTTCCCATTTATCTCCAGATGGGGGGGAGGAAGGGAGGGAGGGAGGGAGGGAGGGAGGGAGGGAGGGAGGGAGGGAGGGAAAGAAACATCAAGGTGAGAGAGACACATCAACTGGTGGCTTCCCACTCATCAACCAGGGCCGAGGACCAAACTGCAACTGAGGTACATGCCTTTGACTGGAATAGAATCTGCAACTCTTTGGTCTAAGGGTTGACAATTTTAACTGCTGAGCCAAACCAGCCAGGGCACCCATGCCTTCTTTTTCTTATTTTTATCCTCACCTGAGGACATTTTTGCATTTATCTTCAGATAGAGCCCGGGGGGGAGGGGGGGGGGCGCGCGGGGGCGGGGAGTGAAACATCAATGTGAGAGAGACACATCGACTGGCTGCCACCCACACAACCCCAAGGGGCCTGGGACAAAGTGCAACCGAGGTACATGCCCTTAGTGGGAACTGAACCCAGGTCTCTCTGGTCCGCGGGCCAGCGCTCTGACTGCTGAGCCAAACCGGCCAGGGCGCCCATGCCTCCTTCCTAGTCTTCACCGTGAGGGAGCAGGGGCCACCCAGGCAATGCTGCAGCCTAGAGTTTATAACCTTAGCAGCAGCTCTGTATCCAACACACACACACAGATGGGAAAGACAACTTCATTTTTCCTTTTTACTATAAAATAAAACCTGCACAAACACGCACAGTTTAGTGAATTATTAACAGGTCACCACCCTTCAGCTGCCACCCATCCTGGAAGCCTCTTTCTGTGGCGCTTCCTGGTTGCACCCACCCTCTCCCCAAAGGTAATCCCACATCCCTGCTTTTACAGGCAGCACTTTCCTGTGTGTCCAGGTGGTGTTGCCCCCAAGTGTCTATTCCTAGAAATTACACTTCGGTCTTGCCCATTTCCCCTTGAAATGTCTTTTGAATCTTATTTAGTTTACAGGATTCCCTCTTTATCTCTCTTCACATTCCTGTTCGGAACTTCCCAAAGCCGGGATGTTACCAATTAGGCTCATAGTGCACTTCAACACATGTGCCTGGCCTCTGCATTTCTTGCAAATTAGCAGCTAGGTTGAGAGCTTTAAAAAAAAATACATATTTACTGATCTTAGAGAGAGAAAAAGGGAGAGGGAGAAAAATACCAATATCAGAAACATTGATCAGCTGCCTCTGCACAGCCCCCACTGGAGATTGAGCTCGTACTCAGCATGTACCATGAGACCAGGAATTGAACTGGTGACTCTTTGGTGTATAAAGAGACACTCAACCAACCGAACTGCACTGGCCAGGGCTGGATCCAGAGTTTTGATCAGGCTCAGGTGTGACTCACTCCTTTGTCAGGGCTGTGGGCAGCGCACTATTCTAGCAAAAGGAGGAGTGTTATCACTAGTTTTAACTCTGTTTTAATGACTGCAGCCATTGCTGCTCAATGCCTAAAATAATTTATATACTAGGTTTGCAAAATGGTGATTAAGTTAGAGGTGGCCAACTGGCAAAAAGACCACAGATCTTTCCCTAAAGACATCACCCTATGTTTTGAAGTAACAAAAAATGCTAATAAATGAGCATCATCAAGAAAGATACTAGAAAATAATGTCAAGGCACAGCTCATGCATTCTATAATAATGTACTGTACTAACAGTTTATACTGATAAAACTAGCTACGATTTATTGAATGCCTAATATATGCCAGGTACTGTGTCAGACAGTTTACTTATCTAACCTCGCACCTATGAGGTAACAGTTAACTTCCGGATTTCATGGACAAGCTGAGGCTCAGAGAATTATGTAACCACAATGATAAGACAGTGAGTGACCAGTCTCTACTTGAACCAAGTCTGACTGACTACAGAACCCCTACTCTTTCTATGCAACATACCAATGCTGCCAACGTCCAAATGCAACATTTGCAAGATGTTTAGGTCATAAAAGTAAGCTCCTCATGAAGAGGTTAGTGCTCTTATGAAAAAGACCACACAGCCCTGGCCAATGTGGCCCACTGTTTAGAATGTCAACCTGTGCATCCAAGGGTTGTGGGTCCAATTCCCAGTCATACCTGGATTGCAGGTTGCATTCCCAGCCCCAGTTGGGGCGTGTGTGGGAGGCAACCAATCAATGTGTCTCTCTCACATCAATGTTTCTCTCCCCCCCTCCCACTTTCCTCCCTCCCTTCTATTCTCGCTAATAAAAGAGACCCCACAGTCCTGGTTGGTCTGGCTCATTTGGTTGGAGCATCATCCCGTACACCAAAAGGCTGCAGGTTCAACAGTCAGGACACATAACCAGGTTCTGTGTTTGATCCCTGGCCAGGCACATACAGGAGGCAACTGATCAATGTTTCTCTCTCATATGGATGTTTCTCTCTCTCCCTCTTCCTTCCTGTCTTTAGAATCTACAAAAAACATAGCCTCCGGGTAAGGATTTAAAAAAACAACAACAGAGACCTCACAGTTTCTAGATCCTTCCGCAATGTGTTCACACAGTGAGAAGGGCTGGCCCTCGCAATACCAATCTGCTGTAGCCTGATCTCAGACTTCCCAGCCTCCAAAACTGTAAAAATAAATTTCTGTTGTTCTTAAGCCATCCAGTCTGTGATATTTTGTTATAGCAGCCTCAATAAACTAAGACAAACCACAAGACAACACAAACAGAAAGTGACGTTTAAAAAATCTAATAATTGGCCCTGGCCAGTTTGGTTCAGCATTTAGAGCATCGGCCCATGGACCAAACGCTGGTCAGGGGCACGTGCCTCGGTTGCAGTTTGTCCCTGGCCCTGGTTGGGTTGTGTGGGAGGCAGTCAATCAATGTGTCTCTTTCACGTTGATGTTTATCTCTCTCTATCCCTTCCACTCTGAAAATAAATGGAAAAATATCCTTGGGTGAGGATTAAAAAATAAATAAATAAATCTAGCCCTGGCCAGTTTGGCTCAGCAGTTAGAGCGTCGGCCCACAGACCAGAGAGATCCAGGTTCAGTTCCTGGTAAGGGCACGTACCTCAGTTGCAGTTTGTCCCTGGCCCGGTTGGGGTCATGCGGGAGGCAACCAGTCGATGTGTCTTTCTCACATTGATGTTTCTCTCTCTCTCTCTCTCTCCCCCACCCTGTGTCTGAAGATTAATGCAAAATAAATAAATAAATAAATATATATAGCCCAGCTGGCGTGGCTCAGTGGTTGAGCGCTGACCCATGCACCAAAAGGTTGCTGGTTCAATTCCCGGTCAGGGCACATGCCCAGGTTGTGGGCCATATCCCTAGTGGGGGCATGCAGGGGTAGCCAATAGATGTTCTCTCTCATCAATGTTTCTATCTCTCCTCTTCTCTCTAAAATTAATAAAGGAAATAAATAAATAAATAAATAAATCTAGTAACTGTAGTGCACTCCTCTGTGACTGTGAGCAATGCTCTCCTTGGAGCCGGAACTACAAAGAGCGAGCCTGTGGCTCTGCCCCATCGTCCTGGGCAAGAGCAGTACTGTGTGAAACCTGATGGAGGATTCTGAACTAATGACATCCAGATGTTAGTGACACCTAGAGCTTCACTTCCAACCAGATGGGAGAAAGCCAGGAAGAGCATTAGTCCTGCCCTAAACAAGAAGAAACCGATAAGCGACCACATCGTAAGTTTTGTGGACGCCAGCAGAAAGCTGAAGTCAAGGGGAAGCCAGCGGCCTGGAGACAGGAGGAAGCTCGCAGGCTGGGCACTAGGCAAGCACGTGCAAGCAGGAAAGGTGTCAGTTATGCTCTTGACTGAAATCTAAATCTAACCGCTTGTGGGCTGGGCCTGCAATGGGATCACTGGAGGTTGCTGACAGAAGATGGGTGCTCACTCATCTGCTCCACCAGGGTTCCCGAGAAAGTGAGGGCAGGAGGGAGCCCAAGAACATCCACGAGGGGTTATGAGCCTGGAGAAGAGCCAACGGTGGTGTGGGGTAGGCACAAAGCAGGATTCTTTTCCCTATGGAGGAGGAGGCCAAGTTTTTGGGACAGGAGCAGCACACTCTCCACCTCCCACACCCTAACACAGGGAAGACCCCTGTGGCCAGAGGAAGGGAGGCCTCCTGCCATCTGGGAAGACCCACTAAAAGCACAGAGCAGTTTGGCAGCCAAGGGAAGAAGAGCCAATCAGGCACAGCTATGAGACACAGAGACAAGGGCCTGTATCCTGAGGCTGGCCCACTGCCCACCAGTCCAGCAAACAGCAGCACCCTCTAAACTGGATCTGCAATCACACTGAAAACTTTTGTTCTTTGAAAAAACAACCTTGCTTGGCCAGGTGACTCAGTCGGTTAGAGCACTGTCACATACACCACACATACAAAAAAGGTTACAGGTTTGATGCCTCGTCAGGGCACATACCTAGGTTGTGGGTTCGATCTCTAGTCAGGGCGTGATCGAAAGGCAACTGATCTCTCTCTCTCTAAAATCAGTGCAACAGCCCTGGCCGGTTTGGCTCAACGGTTAGAGCGTCAGCCTGCGGTCCAGAGAGACCCGGGTTCGGTTCCCGCTAAGGGCACGTACCTCGGTTGCAGTTTGTCCGCGGCCCTGGTTGGGTCGTGCGGGTGGCAACCACTCGATGTGTCCCTTTCACATCGATGTTTCTCTCTCTCCCTCCACTCTATCTGAACAAAAAATGGAAAAAAATGTCCTCAGGTGAGGATAAAATAAATAAATAAAATAAAATCAGTACAGCATATCCTCAGGTGAGGATTAAAAAATAATAACAACAAAAAACCAAACACCCTTAAAAGGGCTAGCCACAGACTGGGGCAAACACACATCGGAAAA